ATGAACTGATCTACTAAAATTTCTGGTGAGATTAGGGTAAATCTTTTATGGAACTCTAGAAGTCTTGAATTGATGGTATGAATAAAACAGCTGTCTACAAGAGTTTTAGGTAGAACAGTGAAGATTGTATGGATGATAGAAAGACAAGACAATTTTTAGCTTTCGGTGTCAATGTAAGCGTCGAACATATGCAGTAATATTGTGTTTTGTGTTTGTTAGTTCACTGTTCAGATTGTTGTTAATGAACTGAACTTCGAGGTAATCATTTTTACGCAAGATTCTTGTAAAAAATACGTAGAGAAATCATTGACGGTAAGGTAGATGAAAAGTTTAACTTATGAGCACTTGTACAGGGAAAATGAGAATGGAACCGATGTGTTGTTACTAATGAGGAGTATTTTAAAGGAACTAAAATTGTTGTACAGTCCATTTCGTAAAATTATGTTTTTACGATCTTACTTCACTAACTTATTGAAAAATCGCTCAACTAAGGTAGCAGTTAAAAATTAGCTGAATATCTTCATACAGATTGAGTATTGATTAGACCTTTTGTAACGGGAACGATATATATGTAACACCACAATGAATAGGAACATTGAATGCTCAACGTTGAAAGGTTCAGTAACCAGTTTTTATCCACTCAAATCGGAAAATCATCGTAACATTCAGAGCGTTAAGGATGCAAGCTCCACAGTATCCGAGGTGAGACCTTTAGTGACGCTAAACTGACCTTGAGACCACCCGATGTTTATGGTCAAAAGAGGGTGACAAACTAGTATGATGAATTAAGATTAGGACTTACAGTTGGAAGTTAGGGTAAGGGATTCGAGTAAGGTGTTTTCATCACAAATCAACATCAAATCTGATTTTTAAAATTGCTATTCAAGGCTGGGAATAAACTTCACGTCGTTGATTCATCTGAGTGTATCGTAGTCAGTAAATACGGTTATGTTTTCGTTTATTTGGTCACCTAGTCATAGATATTTTGGAATAATTTCTATTATAGAATTATTTGGAGGTGTTACTTTTGCTGTTATAACTTTTCCTCAATCATGACTGATTGCGCCACATTTAACATGTCTGTAGCATGATGAAGTGGTATTTTCGTCGTAGAAAAGCGTAAATTTTTTATGCAACCCATCGAAAAAGGACAGAGAACGAAACACTTCTTTCATCATGGATTACAACACTGTAAATAATAATTTCCGCTTCATTTTAGTTGGCTGCCAGGTGGAAGGACAAAATTGAGGAAGAGAGAGAGCGAGACTATAACTTATGGGCGAATCAATGAGATATGAGGTTTGGGCGCGAAATTCATCTACTCATTTGGATAAATTCCATTTTGGCATTTTAGCTTATGTCAGTTCGCAATGAAAATCTCAAATCTAGTTCCTATCCCTAACCATCATAATTCTAATTCCTCACAATGCTTTATAACCCTCAATTAGTCCTAGTCAGTAGGTGGACATTTCCAGGGTCACTTTAGTGTCACTCTAAGGCGGTCCATAAATTATAGTCTCACCCCAGAGCGGAGTTTTTCCTCACCCTTATTTAACTATATGGATGATTGAATTCAGCGTGAATTTAGTCTTCCACTTCTCCGATGCTCTTCTTCGCGTGCTTGTTTGCTTCCGTGTATTCAGCATTTGCCTTGACTTTCTCTGAAGTTGTTCAGCTGTTGCTATTTGCTATCCTTCCTTTCTTGAATCCTCTCTAAAGTTTCGATAGAGATCCATTCCTTATGATAGTGCTTGTCGCGGCCCAGAACCTCCTGAAACGTCGAAATTAGTGTTTCTTTGATCCCTTTCCAGTTGTCCTCCATAGTAGTTTCTTCTTCTTTCAGTAGATCCTGTAAGCCTTAGAACCTGTTATTGATAGCTATATTGAATTCGTTAGTATGTTGAAGGAAGACTGGAGTGAACCTTTGTAATGCTGTTCCCCCAGTTTTCGAATGCTTCTTTAGCATCAGTTTCATCTTGACAACAACTAAGTGGTGATCTGCATCTATGTCAGCTTCTCTCCTGGTTCTCACGTATTCCCTTGTTTGTGTGAATTTTTTACTGATGCAAATATGATCTATCTGGTTTCTGGTGGTGTGATCCGATGAGAGACATGTTGCTTTGTGTATGTGTTTGTGTGGGAATATTGTGCCACCTATAACGAACCTGTTGAATACACATATATTTGCAAATCTCTCACCATTCTAGTTTCTTTCTCTCAATCAGTCCATTTCGTCCCATGATATCTTCATACCCGTTGCTGATCATTGAGGCCTTGGCGTTTGTTTCTCCCATCAGGATTATCAGGTTCTTTACTGAGCACTTCGTTATGATCGATTGCAGCCATTCGTAAAACTGATCTCCATCGTCATCATTGCTATCATTGTTGGGTGCATAACATTGGATGATATTTATTGTGATTCCCTCCTTCTTTGTTTTGAATGATGTTTTGATGATTCTGGTCCATGAGATCCCCATCCTATAAGTGCATTTCGGGCTTCTTTGGACAGCATCAGAGCAACTCCATGAGTGTATGGAGCACTTTCCTCTTTTTCAACAGCAGCATTTCTCCCGTACCTAACCTTTGCTGTCCAGCTTGGGTACAATGGGATTCGCTGATTCCGAGAACAGTCAAGTAGTATCTCTTCATCTCAATTGCTATTTGACTAGTCCTTCCAGTTTCTCACATTGTCCGGACGTTCCATGTACCTATAAAGATTGGTTTTCTGGTTGTTTGAACGAGCATCGGTCTCGTGACTTCCAAAGAATATCTTCTTTCATCATGAGGCGTCATATTTCTTCTGAAGGAACATCCTTCAACTCGGAGGGCAGAGTTTAAATGGTTTAATCCGTTTATTCTGGTCAGTGTTTTTTAACAATGTTGTTTTCTACAAGATGGGGTTTCTGACTCCATTCCCAACCCTCCTCCTTTACCCGGTTTCGGGAACGACAGTAACCCTAGAAGACCTACAGGCGGAGTTATTTTATTCATATAAGGACATTAAAACAAATCTTTTGAACCACTTTTGTTAGGATATTCGGAAAAGTATACCAATATTTATCATGTTAAGTCTAATGGTGGCCTTGGACTTTGAATGTACACTCCCTATTGGTCGATATTTATTTCACTTGTTAAATATTGTACAAATGTTGTTTTCTATTTTATGGTACGATGTGGTCTGCTTGATTGGTATATAAATAGAGTATGTCTGGAATATAATGATTCATATCTCAGAGGTTGAGACTTGTGTTCTGGACCCAACTGGCTGGGCTAGACAGCGAAGCAGGGCCGATCGGGACTCTAGGTCGTTCGTACATGTTTTACGTGTCATTGATCCTATCGATAATAAGCTGCGCATCTAATCTGCAGTCCACACGTTACAACAATTGGCGATGGGGTCGAGAAAATTTTGAACCCTGTAATTGGACGAGATTCAGCCTGTTTGTTCAAAATAAGATCAAATTGTATTAAAGGATTTTTAATATGGAGTTGTGAAGATTGTTAAGTTTTTTTGATTGAGGTCATGTATGTGATTAATATTAGATTACTATTAAAAAATTGGAAGCACTGGAAGGCCGCTTTGTATCAGTATGGGACTCTTCAGTAGTGCACATCCAGGATTTTATTTGTGTTTTAAAGATAGAGTAGACTATTTATTATAGTTATGTAGACTAATTTATAGGTGGATATAATTATGTTAACAATCTGATTCACGGACATTGTTATTTTTAGAAAGTTTAATCTATTAAGAATAAGAACTGTAAAACGTTACTTTAACATCATTCAAGAAAATGTTCTCTTGTAACAGATAATCATCTAGTCCATAGTTTATATTTATTTACACATTTCTCAACAAAAGTCTAAAATGCTAGGATGCTTGTGATGTTGTACAAAGTACATTTATCATTATATAACTGAAGTATGTAGTTATTTAGTCTTTAATAGAGACACTTATTCATTGAACATCATTGAATGTTTATACATAATCATAGTCGAACATTACCAACAAAATGAACAAGATAATTAATCGCTGGTGGAATCGAATACTTCATAAATTTCAACTACATATCAAACTGGATGATCTACAGTTTCGACAATCGATCAAACAATGGTTTATCAGTGTTAACTCTATATACATTTTTTTCAAGAATTTCAAATGCTTTATTGAAACCATATGCGATGTGTATGTATTTCCGGACATTGACAAGAAAAAAAATTGATACTAAAATAAGGATTTATGTAGGTAAGTTTTTTATCAAGGGTTAACAATAACTAAAAAATCATTGAAGGTGAAAGATGTCACAGATATTTGGAGTTTGACAACGCTTTCACCAGTAACACCTACTATTGAATCTTACTCACCTAGTGAAATCAAAAGTCAGAAGCGAGAAGGTTGGAAGATATATTTGATAGGCTATCAATATATCGAGAATCGACTGATCTAAACTGGCTAGCGATTGCAAGGGAAGTTGAACATGGCGTCCTCACTTGTGATCTGGTGCGGTTGTATAACCGAGTGCCTCCAGCTAGGTGAGTCCATTAAAACTAATGTGGTCAGCATCTAATGTCGTAGACTTACAACGCTATTTATTTTGAGGATTTATTTACCTCTACAAAAGCTTCCAGACGCCTATATGATCTGTTCTTTTTTCTGCCTAGTTTGAGAATCCTCAACAGTTGGTTAGTGACCATGATACAAACTTATAATTTTCATAATTTGTCTCTAGTATAAAGTCATGTCTACCAGGTTAAAATTTAAATGTCTTGATAATCGTCTCATGTGCAATTACTGATATTTACTACTGAAGAGTTTCAACGAAGATCATAAAAGGTTTTCAATACTTCTTGATATTCCAGATACTATTAAATCTGTAATACAAACTAACTTGACAATTTGATATATTTATTTGAAGATGGAACTTTCAAATGGTGAAAAACACTTCTTTTTTTTAAAGAATGAATTTAACTACTACGAACAATTTACAATTAACTTGACTTACCTTAGTCAAATAATTAAGCAGTAATATCATGAAATTAATAGATATCCACATTATAAAACACAGTTACTATGTTATTACTTCGTTTTGTGAATATTCATTTGAATAAGCCAAATTAAAGTTACATTACATTGTAAATGTGTCATTCAAAATAATAAATTCTCTGATAAATGCACAAAATTATTGTTTTTGTTATAATGTGAAGTATTATTTATAGCCAGTCATTTTTGAGGGATAGTTAACCAATTGAAATTCGGTGTAGGTGACCAAAGTACCTGTCATAATATAGAATATACTATCTATCTACTTGAATTACTTGAACACAAATACTTGATTACAAATAGAAATATTGATGAAGCATGATCTGTACTACAAAACAGATTGATGACTACACTTTAGGATACTGAATTCTAATTTAAAACTTCTGGTAATCTTTTTGCTTGGGTTCTCATGAACAGGAAAACGTTGTCTAAAATATAAACATAAAAGACTAACGTGGAGTTTAGTTCTGCATTCCTGAATATTTATTTAAAAATAAAATCTATTGTAAAACAACCTATAGTAGATTGTGCCTCAGAACCTTGTGGATTCCTTCATAAACCACAACGAGTGATTGAAGCTATGAATAACAGTATGCAAAGATGTGAATATTTGATGCTTGTGGTTGACTTCAGGCGAAATATAGATACTATATTTAGTTTTATACATGATACTTTAAGTAACCGTAATTGGAAAATGGTGGTATGAAAAGTCAAATACAAAATGTATCTGGAAGATTATATTTATAGTGTTCAAATTAGAGCAAACGGCTATAGACCCAAATGAATGTGCCTTGAGCCATGGTTCATGTGTTATTAGTCGAGAAAGCTGAAGGGCCTCATATTTAGAAAATAACTAGAGTAGTACGATGAATACAGTTGTACCAAATGGAACTCAAAGTCATTGAAAGACAGAAGCTGATGATGAACCAACTTCTTATGCGATTTTTCATGTCAATTTATATATATATATATATAATCAGGATCTAAACGTCAAATCTTCAAATAAACAGGAAAGGTGTTGAGGAGATCTAGAAAATTTCTCGAAAAAAGCCAAAAATGGCTCTGAAAACTCTGAGAAACATCTTGTTCAATCAGCATTCAATAGAAGTTCTTTCCAGAAACACTTAGAAAGTGACAAGTCACGTGTTGTGTTTCTGAGTGGATGATTACCTCGTAGTGACCAACTTTTACCAAGAGAACGAGTTTGATTTAATGGAAACAATCGTTATTATAACCAATTGTGCCAGTGATTGTTTTACTGTGCTCGCTTGTTTAACTGTGCTAAAGACAGCCATAATACTGCTCCATTATCTTTCGACTGTGACCTTGCACGTGTTTGGTTACGCTCAGTAACCACACTTGTACTTCGGTATCCTTTCGATACGAGATCGCGAACAAATACATCTCGACTACAGCCATCAACTGCCTTCTGATATTTGGCTTACGGGGGATTTTATCGGTTAACTGGCACGTAGTCTTCTTGTAGTGGTGTTCATAGTCAACCGCGACTCGACACCACACTACAATCTATACTACTAGTATGTTTAGCAGCATTCCAGAACTTTCTGGAGGCCCAAGGCCATCTAAAACGTTATAAGCACCTTAGATTTTCTGCACATAAACAAACCTCGTAGTAAAGCGTTTCTTCCACACTACACACCCTTCTCTCGTGTTCAAGCTGCTGTGTATATTTAGCCTGGGAGTCAATAGAAACGCCTTGGAACCGAACCTAGAGTTCATTTAGACGACTTATCAAACTAATCGACCGGGAACGCCATAGAATACAGCCCCATTGAGTAATCTGTATTACTTTCTTTATTTTCAGTCCCATCTTCGTACATCGTTTCCCGGTAAAACTAGTTTATTCTTCAGATTGTTTTAATGTAAAGAGATAATCTGTCCACCTCGTTAGGGTGGGTAAGGCTTGATGGACAGTAGATGGTATGACTGCAACTAAATGATGTGAATATTTGACAGCTTCGCCATTCTTATATTTGACCCAGATGGGCCAGTGAATAAAAGTGATCGAAGTCTGAATCTTACATTCAATATTAAGAAGTAGGTTAGATGAGAACATCAGTTGACAGAAGTTGAGTTCAAGCGTGCCTACGTATTCAGTGAAGGTTAGCATGGTTATTGGAGTTACTTTCATCCGTTTGACTCCAAACGTTACCAACTCATTAACTGCGTCTAATTTTTAAGCGTTGTTACGAATTACCTTCACAATATATAACACCAAAAATACAAGTTGTACTTGGAAGGCTTTTATTATTGATAATCAGAAAAATGTGAGGAATAAAGTGAAATAATGTATGTTTTCGAATGAATATATTGTGAAGATGGTGCAAATCGACACTTGATTCAAGTTATTGACTATCTACGTGAACAGTCAGTGAAGGAATGGATAAAAATTAGGATGCAGGTATGTGTTCAGTCAAAGTAACTAATTCGTATGCACAGTGGGTCGATTGTCTAAATCACATTAAGTAGTTAATTAAAGTATGGTTTGGTTTTTTAGTCTTTCTTATGTGTCCCAGTAAAATAGTTTATACCAATAAATGCTGGGAAAGGTAAGTTGTGGGGTCCCACAAGCTTTTCTGGACGTTGAGGTGCAAGAAAACCTCGATTTATCGCACTCACTGTATTACGATTTTTGTCCTATGGTTGAGAGATGGTATATCGTTGTCATATCTTACCTCTTAAATCCAGTCACTGAGAGGAATAATACAGATTGGAGTCCGTGGATGGTTGTTATCGTTGATGTGATACTAAAGTTTTAATCTGCCGTCTCACAAAGTCATGGGCAACGGTTTATGCTAGTGATATGAATTCTGATCATTATTTAAAGTGGTCCACACAAATAATTGATGAACGGATCCAGTTGAGTGTGGGGCGCCTCAATTCTTCTAAATCTTTATCCAATCCATTCTGGTAAAATATTTGTTCGGAGAGGTTGGTGATTGCACGATTACTTGGATGATGAAGTTGTGCACTACGTTAACGTCCTTTCAAAAATATTGTTTCAAGACGAATGAACTATAGTCTCAAAACCCGTTGCATTGGTTTTAATTAAAATATTAAAGTGACTGATGTCAAGAAACCGTATTACTTACTTACTTACTTACTTACTTACTTACTTACTTACTTACTTACTTACTTACTTACTTACTTACGCCTGTTACTCCTCGTGAAGGAGCATAGGCCACTCACCAGCATTCTCCATCCAACCCTGTCCTGGGCAATCCTTTCTAGCTCCGTCCAGTTGTAATTCATCCTTTTCATATCTGCTTCTATTATCCGACGCAATGTGTTCTTTGGCCTTCCTCTTTTTCGCTTCCCTTCAGGGTTCCAAGTTAGGGCTTGCCTCGTGATGCAGTTTGACGATTTGCGTAATGTATGTCCTATCCATTTCCATCGTCTTTTCCTAATTTCCTCTTCAGCTGGAAGTTGGTTTGTTCTCTCCCACAGAAGGCTATTGCTGATGGTATCCGGCCAGTGGATGTTGAGTATCTTGCGTAGGCAGCTATTTATAAATACTTGTACTTTCTTGATTGTGGTTGTTGTAGTTCTCCAAGTTTCAGCTCCATACAGTAGAACTGCCTTGACGTTCGTATTGAAGATTCTCACTTTGATATTGGTTGAAAGTTGTTTTGAGTTCCATATGTTCTTCAATTGTAGGAATGCGACCCTTGCTTTGCCGATCCTCGCCTTTACGTCTGCATCTGAACCTCCTTGTTCATCGATGATGCTTCCTAGGTATGTGAAGGACTCTACATCTTCCAGAGTTTCGCCATCAAGAGTGATTGGATTGCTGTTCTCCGCCTTGAATTTGAGGACCTTGGTTTTCCCTTTGTGTATGCTGAGGCCTACTGATGCAGAGACTGCTGCTACACTGGCTGTCTTCATCGGGCTAGGTCATCTGCGAAGTCCAAATCGTCTAATTGATTCTGAGTTGTCCATTGTATTCCGTGTTTTCCTTCAGATGTCGAGGTCTTCATAATCCAGTCGACCACCAGAAGAAAGAGGAAGGGAGAGAGTAAACAGCCTTGTCTGACTCCAGTCCTTACTTGGAATGCATCTGTCAGCTGTCCTCCATGCACTACTTTGCACTGTAGTCCGTCGTATGAGTTCCGGATAATGTTGACAATCTTCTGAGGAACTCCGTAGTGTCGAAGAAGTTTCCATAATGTCCTCCTATCTACACTGTCGAATGCCTTTTCATAATCAATGAAGTTGATGTATAGTGATGAGTTCCACTCAACTGATTGTTCGACGATGATCCGTAGTGTTGCAATTTGGTCTGTGCACGACCGATCCTTACGGAATCCAGCTTGTTGATCTCGAAGTTGGGCGTCTACTGCATCCTTCATCCGGTTCAGCAACACTCTGTTGAAGACTTTCCCTGGTATTGACAGTAGTGTAATGCCTCTGTAGTTTTCACATTTGCTCAGATCTCCTTTCTTTGGAATCTTGACGAGGTGTCCTTCTTTCCAGTCCATCGGCACTTGTTCCTCCTCCCAAATCTTTTTGAATAGAAGGTAAGCATGCTTGTGGTTGCTTCGATGTCTGATTTCAGTGCTTCAGCTGGTATGTTGTCGGGTCCTGCTGCTTTCCCGTTCTTGATTTGTCTGACGGCCATTCTAATTTCTTCCGTCGTTGGTGGGTTGACATCTATAGGAAGATCTATGTGTGCTGCTTCGATGTCCGGTGGATTCATTGGAGCCGGCCTATTCAGGAGTTCCTCGAAGTATTCCACCCATCTGTTACGCTGTTGTTGAATTTCGGTGATTGGCTTGCCTTCTTTGTCTTTGACCGGCCTCTCTGGTTTACTGTATTTCCCTGCTAGTTTCTTCGTTGTATCGTGAAGCTGTTTCATATTTCCTTCTCTAGCAGGAAACCGTATTTACAATACGAAATTAGTAGTACCATAAAAATGATAAACTCCTCCTGGAGTCCCTCCGGGGGCTACTGCCGGTCCCAAGCCCGGATAAAGGAGGAGAGTTGGGCATTGGGTTATCGTCCTCGACCCGTAGAAAACTAACTCGCTAAAAAACGCTAAAAACGCTAAGTAATAAAAATGATATATTTTCGAATTAAACTGTGATGCCAAAATCAAGTGATAAGACTTTTTATTAGACTACATATCAGACGATGAGAATTTGGGCTTCACGAACGGGAGATGTAAGATCCGTTTTAAATGTTTGGTGTGTGAAGATCCCTCTATGTATACACTTGCGCTTTTTTACTATTGACTCCTTAGTTGTACATTGTTTGTCTTTTGATTGCATTTAAATTGTTAGCATTTGTATTTTTTTATTATAGTTTTTATTTTTCTTACGCGTTCACTAAGTTTCCGTGTTTCTTCCTGAACTGCGTTTATGTTGTTTTACTTGACACTTGTTCTTAGCGGCAGCCAAACTGATTTGCTCCTCCTTTTGTTCGTGTTCTATCCAGACAGGATAGAACAACATTTATTTGTAGTGATTAGTAACTTTCTCGCATCTTTTATCAACTTCCTTATTTATTGTAATTTAGATTTGATTAATTGAACAACTATTGGTTGGATAGCTGGGTGGTCATATTTGTTTAGGTTGTAGCGTGAGGGCGAGTCCAGATCGACTATGAACACCACTACAAAGAAACGCGTGCAAAACAAATCAGAAGGCGAAGATTGAACATAATCAGATTTATTTCGTTGGCCATCTCGTGGTATCGAACGAATACCAAATCATGCCAAAAGAAGTACAAGTGGAATTAGCGGGCAGGAGTACGAACGTACGACGTCACAATCCGCGGAAAAGTAATGGAGAGTAATAGAGTAGTAGTATGGCTGTCATTAGCACAGTTAAACAAAAGCACATTAAAGCAAGCACATGTACAATTGGTTATAATAATAATAGTTGTTTTCATTAAACCAATCGCGTTCTCGTGATAAAAGTAAGTCACCAAAAGGTAACGACGTACACTTAAATTTATGATGAACTATAGAACCGTTATTTACCCCATTATTTGTTTTGATTTTACGGGCGTGGGTGCGTGTCTAACCTACCTGAACGGCTATCCTTCAGTCCAAACCGTAGTTTGGATTCTATAGGAGATGATGCATTTCCCAGGCGTTTTCTGTATCCTTACGCAACAACAGTACCATTTCTGATTTAAAAGGTCTGTCTTGAGCTGGATGTTCAGAAGATTAATTTTTTTAGTTTAACCAAAGTTTATAGTTAGCTGAAGTTTTTCTTCAGCTTACCATTCGGTTTTTACGATCGTCACGTCAAGGCTAGTTCTAGTGTATTTTAACTTTTTCTACTACGCGTATTCATTTATTTTACAAGTGTTGTGAACATTGTTTTCTTTTTCAGTCGTAAACGTTTGATAAAATTTGCTTAATAATTTGGATTTTACTATGGTTATTAGACTCACATTACGCGATGTGAGGAATGCAAAGATTGGATTCACGAAGCATGCACAGACTTTACATCAACTATTTACAATAGGTTGAGAAGTCGAATGACAGGTAGGCATGTTTCACATGCAACATGGATGCTGACGATTCGCTAAGTAATATCATCATTCTTCTGAAGGGTTTGCCCGAGAAACGGAAAAATAGACGCAGTCATATAAACAAGGGATTACAAGCTTCCAAATTTCGCTTTAATCGATATGATTGGTCTATAATGATAAGTGAAGTGCCGCGATATTTGCTCAATCTTTGTGCCTAGTAATTTGATAGTTGCTGGTATTAAGAAACACTGCTGTATCTACATATCGCGCGTTATTTTTGAAGAAACAGTGGTATTTTTCTTCGCTGATTTAGTTTCAAAGTATTTACCGCTTATCGAGCATCGAAACTGTTGTGTTTCATTTTGATCGAATTTATTTCAATCAAACTTATCACCAAGGGTATCGTTTTCTACTCCAAAGTAATTTATCATATTGAAATGGTAGAAAAGATTTGTAGCTCATGTAGATGATTTTGTGATGATGATGTCGTTCAGAATAAGAACCATCTAGCCCAGAGATCAAAATTTCGTCAAAATACTTTATCATTTGTACTTTTTGCGTACAGATACAAAAAAGACACTGGTATTTCCCATGGTTAAGTAAATCTAGTAGTGTTGTTTTTAATAAAAAGGTCTTAAAGCTTCTTTCATTTGTTTAAGCCGGCTTTTGGTCTTCAGTTGCAGTAAAATATAAACCTCAGCTTTCTGTGCTCAGCGTCCTTCATCTTTAAAGTCTTAAAAGCAGTTATTTCAGAGATTAGTACTTTTTTGTCCTCTCAATGCGATCACCAAACAATTTAATGGCGCAGGTAAAACATCCTTGTGGTAGGCCCGCATGGTATTTCCCTGTCAAGAACGGAATGTAATATGACAATTGCAATAAGAAGTATCACAACGTAAGCACCGGAATCACACCGGCTGCGTATGAAAGGTGCTGCAATCCACTATCACGTTGGTTATGTAATGAATGCTGTTCTTCATAGTCGTTGAAGATTCTTGACATGATTGAGCTGCTGAACAAAGCTTAGAAGGTGCTCTCAGATAAAAGGCCAGCGGCAGGTGAGCAGTTTTCAGTTTATGAGAAAGCAGCGGGTGTTATCGTGAGTCCAGCTTTGGATTTGAATGCAACCATCAAGATGGACCCCTATGGCGTAGCGAATGACAAACACACGTGTAGGCAATGGTTACTCAGGAATGCCACCTCTTAAAGGTTATCTTTACCTCTGCTGAAGAAGGAAATCTAATACTGGTACATTCACTCAAACTCACTGGATCAGGAATATGTGTCCGTGAGGATCACAGCCTGTTTGATCGTATTAAAAGACGATCGGCACAGGTACAAATAAGTGAGCACCACGGGAACGGTGGAAAGAACCTTATACTTAAGGGTTTTCACATTGTGAAATTTCAGAGCGAAGCGATCTTCAAACCACTTTGGGTGGTAAGGGAAAGGTGTGTTGTACAAATCGTCGCAGCTTACATAGGTAAATGTCGGGTCTCAGAGTAGTAGTGGACATACAAAACTCTGACGTCTTTGCCACCTCAGAAACATGTGTAACATTAGAAGTGTATTATAATGAGACTCAGTTGCCTGGTTTTTATCCAGTATGGCTAACAGACTAGTCTGTAGGGATGGTGGGTTTGTTCTGTACACGAACAGTACCTTAATCAAATGGGCTGTCGAGACAGTGACAAACGATCGAGCGACATATGGACTGATGCGCTGTAGTGTAAAATGCAAATGGAGAGACATTAAATTATTTGTAGTATACCGCAGTAGAAAACGTGAGGTAGATGACTTCCTCCCAAGCAAACTTAAGTCCTGGTGTAATAGGAGTAAAAGCCTTTTGATAGGCAACTTTAATGCACCGTATATAAACTGGGCAGCTAGACTTCTGTGCTCTGTCATACCCCAGATTAAGAGGTGATCTTATCTTCGTGCACAGAATACTTAGAAATGATTTTAAATCCAGTATATTTTCTCGTTTTATTTCCACTAGATTGAGACATCTCAGAGTACAATTAGGTGAGTAGAAAAGCCAAGAATGAAGAAAATACTCATGGCATACAGTCATCTATTCTTGGAATCAATTACCCAAAGCAGTGATGTCTGCACCTTAAATTGGCTCATTCAAGAGAAGACTAGACACTCATAGAAGCATGCTGGAAAAGGAATAACATAGGTCGTAGGCCTTCTGTCCTTACTGTACAAATCTGAATCAAACGCACTCGCTCAACGAGACATTCAAATCCATAAACAACTATGGTAATGACCAGGATCAGTGTAATAAAATGACTGAACCATTGCATATCGAGTTGGTTAGAAAGTGAGCACGAAGAAATCACTTGGTTTATACAAGCCAGTGACAAATATATTGGATATTGCATAAGCGCGCAAAATACGCTTGATACGTTGGGCGCAATTTCCGATTGTAAGTGGTATTTGGTCATTTATTTTGGCTGTCGTTTGCACTGATTTTTACCTGTTTGTGACCTTTTAAAGTACATTTTTAATCGAATAACTGTTTTCTTTGATTGCTATCTGCATGCACAATTACAACATGAGCTGATTTTCACATTTTACCTTTTTCACTGCTCACCTATTTTAAGAGACTTACATTTCACTCTCAGAGTAAGTTTGAGGTAATGTAGTTTTAACTGGAAACGGCTTGATGCCATACATTTGTTTTAGTATTTTCTCTGACACATGTTTTTATAATATAACTCCAGTTTTCCGTGGATGAATTTTCGATGAGACTATAATTTATGGACGACCTTTGAGCTAAGCTAGACTAACCTTGAGAGTGTTCACCTAATATTTATCACCAATTGAGGGTTCTAAACCTGTGTGAGAAATTAAAATTGTGTTTTACAATTGACGATTAAGGTTGGGAATTAGATTTTAAGTTTTCATCACGAACTAACATCAGCTATGATGCCAGAACTATTTAACGAAATTGGATAAGTGAATATCGCGCCAATATCCGAGGCCTATTACATTATACCGTATTGTTTCGCCTATAAATTATAGTTTCGTCACTCTCTAACCATATATTATGTTAGTTAATCTATTTTAACCACATTTCTAACAACATTTCTGTTGCACCAGTTGATATTAACGAGACAAATCCGATTTTTCAAAGTTATTTACTGCACCTTATGTTTCGATTTACTTTGTTATGTCATACAAGGATTTCAAACCTTTGCGTATTTTTGTGCCAGCTTTGCATCAGGCCATAACATTTGTTAAACGCATGAAAATGACAAAAGCTTTGTTCATTCGTTCAAATGCAATATTTACTTTCGTTTTCAATTCAGTATTTTCTCAGGATATTCAAGTTCGACATCATACATTTTTGATTTGACGAAACCAGAGTCGTAAATGGTGCTCTTTACTCAATACACTAAAAGACTAATAAATCATGTATAAAGTACTTGAAGAACTAAAAATAGTTATTTGACGAGATATAGATTTGTTCTTAATTAGTATTCTAACCTTGTGCGTATATTTTGAAGTTTAGATTTCGATGACCACTGAACCATCTGACCTCAATCACTTCTTGTTATTTCCGGTGCTATGAACTTTTATTAGAGTACCAATACTACTAACAGTAGGTTGTAACTTCATACATTCATGATTTCTTACTTTTTCTGAGTAACAGAAACATATTCCTCTTTTCCACCTATTTTGACCGCATTTAATTTTTCTACCCTGATACTAATCGAGAGACTCTTTCTGACTAGTATTGTTGTAATAACAGTACATAATTTTTCAGGGCTTTCAAGTAAGAGTTAAGCGAAAAGAAATGACTAGGAACTCATTACCTGATTTCTCATACACATTATGTACAAATGTTACGAAACAATAAGTACAAAAACGAACCCAAGTTTTAGATCTATTATTTTTTCTACATTTATTACAGTATGGTCCTGATTATTTTGAAAATGATCTGTTTTACCCATATGTAGCACTAGTTATTTAAGTGTAATCAGTTCGATATTTACTTCGAATGAATTTATTTGAATTACACATAACGCGTAGTTTTCCTAGCTAACCGTCGATTTTTTACGTAAGTCTTTACCCCTGGCCGGTTCTCAAGTCACCTTTTTGCTGTCATTTTTATACTACTTGGAGTTTGTTAGTAGTTTGAGAATTTCAACCAAAGACAGTTTTTACAGCCACTCAACAGCCATTGAGTGATGTGTCTACTTCCGATTGCGTTCAAACTATTGTTTTGCATCATCCTTTGTAAACCACTCAAAACCTGTGAAAGAATTACTCTTAGTGAGGCTGGCTTTCGTTCTGTTTGTGAATGCATTGATAATTTCTCCACTCTCCAGCAAATGTTAGAATACGGCCGTACGTAATTCAGACCTGCCATCGCTGCTTCTTAATATAATAACCATCTTCAATCCGTTGATTACGGCTGTGCTCTGGGATTCATTGTTGAAGAAGAGTGCATCTGATAAGTATATTAGCATCTACAAGGTTATTTTTTGCAAAAACGGGCAATGTGAGAGCAAACAATCACCTCACTTCATTATTTAATCATAGCAGTGTAGTTATGCATGGTCGCACAATGTTATCATTGCTCCTTAACTTTTTATCTATGACATTTCGGGAGTAGCCCTAATGGAAGTAGGTAGTGGTGATGTGGATCATTCGCCTGAAGACAAATTTTCTTGAATACACGGATGATATTGCTTCACTGTGCTCTAATACTCAAGCTATACAAGTTGCACTTAATCAGTTGGAGAAAAGTCTCTGTAGGTATGATATGTACTCTGCACCTTCTAAGTGCCAAATAATCTTACAAGACTGAAAGTAGCCTCTTCTTATACTCACTCTTGGTGGTGAGCCACTGAGAGTAGTCTTAAGGTTCGCGTATTTGAATAGCTATGTGTGCTGGTGGTGGTGGCATAAGTGATGAGACCAATTTACGTATAGTGAAACCCAGGACAGCCATGTCAGTCCCGGCCATTTTTGGCGCCTTCATGATGTTAGTCTAGCTATAAAAGTCTGAGCCAGCAAAGTGTCAGTGAGAATAATTTGTTCTATGCTTGCGAATCAGCGTCTCCGAGTTGATAATCTTCAACAACTCTGTGTCCGATCATCATTCCAAAGAAATACCGATGTCCAGTCCCAACACTGTTAGTAATATTGCGATTCGACAGTGTATGTTTGGGCACAATGACGACAACTTACTTGGTGTCATCATTTTGAAGTACCGGCTTTGGTGATTTGGACATGTTATACAAATGTCATTGCAACCACTTTCATATCGTGCACTTTTTGTCTAGAGATATGTAGGAAAGCTGTGCATTACTTGTATCTGTCAATACATCATGTTCCCTTACTTGAGGTCCTGGAGATATTGGAACTTTGTAGTTTAAGACATTGACATAATAGAATTCAGTGGAAGTCTCTCTATAATTTCTTTTTACATTCTTTATAAAAGCGAGAAGAACCTCTTTTAATGAATTGACTCTATTATTATTATTATTATTTGAACACATAAATATTGGTACAACAGAGCGCCAATATATATGCGCCACACAAAACAATGAGAATTCGAAGAGAAATAGAAAGAAAAGAAAAAAAAACTAGGGAACGCAAAAGAAAAAGAGAACAATGACGAAGAGATTGGAGTAAGGTAGTGTGGTAGTAACGACGGAACGAAAAGGTAAAATCAGAAGAAATCTTTCAGGTAAAGGAGACACAACCACTTTTTAGAAAGAAAGTAAAAGAAGGTTACAGCAGGATCGCCACTGGCTTCTATTCTGAGCCATATCTGATAACGTCTCTAGCCACTGAAATTACCTTTCTTGCTTTGAAAAACAAACAATTGAATTGACTCTGGTTATATTTTTAAAAAGTGAATTATTTCTCCCATTATGTAATATTTAATTAGCGATGGAGTAGGTGGATCCATTCTTTGTCTTCCAAATTCTAGGCCTCTGAATTACTCATAACTTTTCTGTGTTCACGTTTCGTTAATTCATATTTTCTTGAATCGTATCTTTGATGCCTAATCTTTTCGATCACCACTGATACTGTTACTACTTCTATTCTGGGATTTGGTCTGACAATTCCATCCACGACATCTCTGCTAATAGGGTATGCCAACTTGGACCAATGTACATACATACCAGGTTCTGCGTTATGACTGGCTGACTTTCAGTCACTTATTTTTACTCATCTAATTATTTTTGATTATATTGACGCTCCATCTATCTCTTTACAGTTTCACTCACTCATCTGTGTAACGTATATTTATCGTGCTGGTCATTTTAATTGATATTTATGTTCAAATAAATAAGTAATTATGGTGACAAAATATGATTTCACAATAGCATTAAATTATTGTACTATGCCATCCACCAAGGTAGACAAAAATAAATTAATGTGTAAAGATTTGTAAGAATCCTAGTAATATCAGCAAAAGCAGCTCGACATTTGATAAAGGAACATTGCGTGGAAAACCCACTAAGTAAAAATGGAATCAGGAATGTCCCTTGCTACAAAATCCCCGTTACATTTTATATTATTGATTAGCGAATCCTACTATCGACTAGATCCCAACCAAAGAACAAATCTAGTCTCATAAGTTAAATACTTAGTAACAGTATTGTTGTTATAATCATTTTGTTTTATCTTATATTGTACTAGACACGAGGTTTACATATATCGTTATCATGCCGGTGTCGCGTAGTCGCTGAATTTTGCGTGGATTCATAATGAGCTTTAAACGTCTTATTTGATCATATCTCTTTGACTTGCATATTTGTACGGTGACTTGAATTAAAAGTATCTAGGGGTATTCAGTCAGTCAGCTACAACGTAGGACCAGGCACATATATGCATCGGTCCAAGTTGCCATACCTCATTAACACAACAAGATGGACACCGGATCCATAAAAGTAGTTAATTCAGAGGTGGTAATATATAAAAGAAAGATTGTGCATAAGGATATACTACAGGAAGAAAGAATTAGTTCGTAGAAAGAAAGATATGAGGCGATTTTAATCTCTTAGTTTAAGGGAAGACAGAGAGTGTATACACCGACGCCATTGTGGTCGATTCTGAGCCATGTCACCAAGAGTCTCCAACCATTGGTTACGATAGTCACGCGGACCCCAACCAAGTAGTCTGCATCTACCAACATGGCTCAGACTAGAAGTTAGTGACTTCAAGCACTGATGTCATGTTTTGGTTTGGCCACCCTTAACTTTCTTCCAACCATCCCGAACACCGGTTAGCATTGCACGTCGTGGTAATCGGTGTCCGGGCATACGTAACACGTGGCACAACCATCTCAGTCGATGAAGATTCACAACCTCATCAACTGGTTTACCATCATTCCCTAATACCCTGTGTCTAACCTCACTATTACTTACCCAGTGATCCCAGCAGACGCCAGCAATATTTCTAAGACATCTGTGGTCAAATACTAGTAGCTTACGAGTGTCTTCTACTCTTAATGGCCATGTTTCTTTTCCGTAAATTAAAACAGAACGGACTGCCGCGCAGTATACTCGTCCTTTTATTGATAGACGGATATCTCGCCTTCGCCATAGGTGACGTAAGTTGGCAAAAGCCAAACGAGCTTTTCGAATCCGTGCTGAGATTTC